CAGCTAAAAGATAACTCCACACCTCCATTGCAATGAGTGACAGTCAGTGCGCTATAAGCTGAAGTTTTGTGGGACTTCTAGAAGAGCTTTTTAATGGGGACTGTCTCAACTGAGAGAATATTTTTTTTGTTTTCTCCTCTCTCTTCCTTCTTTGTCCTGAAATACGGACATGAGTGATAGTAACCCCAGGATATTACAGTGTATAAGTATAGGATAACATAGGATAAATATCATGCACTAAGATGGTATAACAAAAAAATAAAAGAAGCTTGGGTCTCTGATGACAATGGAGCTACCACACCAGCTTTGGATTACCTACTTCTGCCTTTTCTTTTAGATGAGGGAGCAATACGCTCTTCATTGGCTAAGACATTGCTATTTGTCTCTTTGATAACAGTAGTTATACACAAGTCCTAATTCCCTCTGTCCAGCATCCATTCACGTTTCCTTTGTTAATGTTCTAGGGAAAGATTTCTCCCACTTTCAGATCATGGGATTTGTGTGTGAGCTCTAGTCCTCCTCAGAGGTACGGCACAGGACCAAGGACCACATTTCCCTTATCTGAGAAGCGAGCAGGTACAACTGGTGACACATTTCCTGTCTTTACCAGCTTTGAACCACTGTGAAAGGGCAGCCAGAAGAGATTTACTATGCCCTAGATGAGGGAAATGCCTCCGGGCCTCAGTCAGCCTTACAATCACCAGCAGTGGAAGTGCCATGAAGTGTACAGAGGAACCTGTATCTTTCTGGTGCCGCCATTTCTAACTCTCTAGCCTCAACATTACATCACAGAAGCCACAAGAGGACACTTGAACTGCTCCTGCTTCTGCAGGTTCCCAAATGACGTCTGTGCTCTGAGTTCTCCTGGAAAAATTCCCTCACTACCCAGCCCACCAAAACCCCATAACATGTCTCAGAGTCCATCTCAGTGACTTCCATGATGCCCTATATTCCTGTTCATGATAATCTCTTAGGAAGCCCAAGGCTCCAAGTCATTGCTCATCTACCAGTCATCCCTGATTCAAACTCTTGCACCTGCTCTCTGGCATACATGACCAGTCTTCAATAAGTCCCCTCATAGTCTAGTAGAGATGATAGACAAGTTAATTCATAAAAGTAAGTGTGGTGGTCTGTATTGTAACAAGTTGGCTACACTGGGAACCACATTGTCAGAATTCCTTTATTGTGGATCAGGTTAGGGTTGGTTAAAAAACACTTGAACCAGATTTGGAAGGTGGAAGGGAAGTAGTGGCCATTGTGTTTAGACTCAGTGATGGACAAATGCAGATATGTCCAATGGGATCCAACTTGTCTTTGCTGGTCTCCATTCCACATCCTGACGACTGACCCTGTTGACAAAAAGTGGCATAAGCTCACTGCCGGTTCTTGGCAATAGGGCATCAGGGCGTGATTACACAGAGGTGAAGCTTCTCTTAGACTTCCCGATACATTTCTCCCTTGTGGTTCCATGTCAGCAGTTGGGTGGGCTTGGCTTCTCCAACTGAGTTGGCAGTTAACTCTTCTGATGCTCCAATTTCTCTTCTGGACCTTCCATTTCCCACCTCCTTCCAAAAACTGTGTAAGGCCCAATTCCCCAAATAAGGTCCTTATACCCTAACACACATGATGTGTTTCACACGCTTCCCTGACTGACCCTGACACACGCTAGGATGAGGGGAGGGCAGGTCTGTGGAAGTACATACAGAGGTTATATGTGATCCCTCCAAGCTGAGGAAGTTGGAATAGGGAGGGTTTATGTACAGGGACCAAGATCAAAGGCAGGGTGATGGGAAGATCAAGGCTGTAGAAGCAAAGGGATGGCTTCCTGACAGGGCGTGGCCGTTTCTTATGTAGGATGTCGGGCTCTGCATGTGGACTGTGGAAGGTATAGAGGCAGGGCCAGACCTTATCCCAAAGGAGTTGCCTACTTGCCTTTTCTCCGTCTCTTTAGAGGGCCAATAGTGGAAAATTAAAGTGTGATATTTTCCACCCTCTACCATGAGGTATTTAGAAGGGATAGAGATTTTACACAGAGCTTTTAACTGTTGAATTTGCAGGAATATTTCTAAGAGATTTTCTATGATTAATATTTTCAGTAATGGGTTGTGGCTTTTTGCCATTTGAGACCACGTGACTGAAAATGTCTTTCCTTTGCCTTCTCACATATAGTGTAGCTTGTCTGAGTTTAGAAATCTAGGGTCTAATTCTTTTCTCTCAGAATCCTGGGAACATGCTTTTGTCTTCTAATATTTAGAATGTCTAATAACGGGCTCAAGGCTAGTCTGATTCTCTTTCCTTTGTAGGCAATATTATTTATTTCTAACTGTGAAATAGGCAAAATTTTCTGTTTTTCCAGAGCATTCAGAAATTTCACTAAGATTATTTCCAGACATGGATCTGTTTCTAAGAATTTTTTTCTTAGCACACAGCAAGTGATTTTAAACTGAATATCAAAGATTTCAGTTGTGTATATTTTCAAGATTTCGGGTTGGGGATACATTCTTTGATCTTCTATTAGTGCTTTGCCTACCTCTGTTCTCTCTCTGGAGTTCTCATATAAGAAGAATCCATTTCCTGTGACTATTCTCAGGTCACTTCAGCTTTTCATAATTTTTTTAATCATTGAAAGTTTGCTCTATTTTCAGAAGAATTTCATGAATTTATTTTCCAACTCATTAATTTGGCACTTACTTGTGTCCATTCACTGTGTCAGCAATCTTTTTCTTCCCTAAGAAATATTTTTGTTTTTAGATTTCTCCCATTTTCTTGGAATCCTGGTCTAATTTTGTTTTTAGCAACATCATTGCCTTTGAATTTCAGTAATTCCATTGCCCCCCTTTCCTTTGTTCAGTTTGCTGACTCTTTATTTTTCCTTGTCTTTTTGTAGATATAGATAGGAATCTGGATTGGGACCTGATTTACGCTAATTTGTAGATGGGTTCAGTATCGGTAGCTCACAACTATAAGCAGCGGAGGTCTCCTGGGGTTCACACATGACCTTGGAGCAGTGTAACTGGGCTTCCCTTATGGTGCAGGTGCCAAGAGAAGACTAGAAGACAGAACTCTTTACCCTATTCCAGTGGGGTCCTGGAGCAGTCAAAATCAACAAAGTGTATTGCCAAAGGATGCCTAGGGGATGTGGTGAGGGTAAGGCTGTTAAATTTAGCAAAAGCACAAAAACAAAACAAAACAGAAAACACAAATTAGGATATCCAGTTAAATCTGAATTTCAGAAAATCAAATCAACAAATAATTTTTAGTATACTTAGGTCTCAAATCTTGTATGAGACTTACACTAAAAATTTTTCGTTGTTTAACTGGGTGTCCTGTACTTCATCTGGCAACCCTAGGTAGGGGGTGAATACTATATTCAGAAGCTACATGAACAGGTCCCCCGCTGACTTCTTCTTGGATAGCCTTCTCTTCCAACCCTACTTGTGAAACCTTAGGAAGTTGCCTGTGTAACAACTGTAAGAAGCAGGAACATAGTTCATGGAGATGGAAAGAGTGGAGGGGAACTGAAGTACCATTCTGTTTGTTTCTCTGTATTTGATGGGGGAGCCTAAGTGTCTTCCCCGGGGCACTGCCCCCTTTTCTATTAGCCTGGCTAGGCTCTTTAAGATTTCACGTTAGCAAATTCCCACTTTCTCTAGTGTGCTGTCCGTTCCAGGTGAAGGCTGGAGATGGATAAGTTGGCTGTCCTAGTGGAGGATACTGGTGTGGCTCCCTAAGTCCTGCCATCACAGTGGGTATCAAAGCCCTCACTCTGACCATCCCAAAAAGTCCCCTGGCACCCAGTCTTGGCTGCTTAAAATCTGAGGTTTGAGGTAACCTGTCCATTTCCTTCCTTTGCTCTTTCAGAAAAGAAATATAAAGGGCATAGTTTAGGACGATGTGGTCAATTGAACTTAGTAGTCCTGACGTTAATCTTCCTATAATTTTTTCTTTTTCGGTGGTCTGTGGTTTATGAAAATCAAGAGAAACAAAGAACTTACTGGTCCATCAGAGTTTAAGTCAAAGAATATCAAACAAGACAATCAAACAATGTGAATTGGCAGTTTACATACCTCTACAGAAGCTCTCTGAACCGGACCACAAACCATTGGGTAGGCACAAGAAGATGCTGCTTCCCACGAGGTCAAATCCAGGGTGACATCGGACCCCACAGGCTGCATTGAAGTGGTTGTTGCAAGTGTTTTGGATAAAGTAACCATTTTCAGGAGGCTTCAGGGCAGGGCAGTGGACAACTAACATTTACAAAATAAAATTAAAAAGTAAAGTTAGCCTTTGTCTATGAAGCATCCAACTTTCCCCTCTTTTAGGCTTAAGCAGACATTTTATACATATATCTGAATAACCCACAGCATCCCCATTTACTGCATTTAAATTTCTCAGTGTGAATTTGGAAGAAAAACCCTTACATCTCACTTCTAATAGGTATTTGCTTCCACCTAAAATTGGAAAACCAGGCTAAATATTTTTTGCGTTTAAAATAATTTTTATTTTGATATCTATGTGGCTACAATATTTTCTAGTTCTTGATCTTCACATGTCATTAGCTATAGTCCTTCTTAATTAAGATGACATGAAATTTAAAAAAAAAGAAAAACAAAAAACCAAGGCCAGCAAAGTGTGTCTGCCACAAATCCTAAGAGCCGCAGCTTCTTGTACATGTTATAGACTAAATAAATATTTGTAATTTTTGATATGAACAATACTGAGACACTTATAAGAATATTTTCTTTAAGTGGATTTAATTATCACCAGGGCCCAAACTAACTCTTTTTCGAACTCAAATTTGTTGTTAAATGTGTGGCTTTTTCCACTTAGATTCATTTTTAGATCTTTTCCAAGTACTGAATCTTTCTGGTTTCATAGTTATGTTACTCCTGGGGTCTCAGATCCCCTTTCTCTGGAGCAAGATATGTATGTGTTCAGTGGTAAGAAATGCTACTTAATAAAAGATTTTCCTCCAAAATATGACTGGAGAAAGGAATACTAAAGATCATTTTCAATGAACTGGATGGACTCACCAGCATCATTTCCCTCGGAGAGATCCACTTTTTAATTTCCTATTTGCCAATGGGGGAAGACCTACCTTCACAGGTCTGGCCGGAGCGCCGATAGCCCTCCTTGCAGACACAGTCTTCAGGGGATGTACTTCCGGGTGGAGAGGTGTGGTTTTCACCAGGACATGGAAGGCAAGTGCTGATTCCTCCTGGCACACCTTCTGGTTTGTATGTCCCTGATGGGCAAGCTGTGGGCAGGCCAGGAAAGTCCATTTTAGGTGATACATCAACTGATAGTTAACAACATCTTTGCGAGTATTTAGGGGGAAAAAAACTGAACAACAGCTTTTCATAGTAAAAATAGTGAAATTCAAGGCAGGACAGAAACCAAGTGTTTTTAAAAGAGGGATATAGGTTGTTACCTGCAGGTGATGACGCGGCCTCTAATGTCCCACAGTTGGTTACAACACAACACAGCATGGTATGTCTGAACTTTTTTTGTGGGAAAACTCAAAATAGTAATGCATGTTCAGGGACTAAAGGAATCAATGATACTGGATGCATTAAAACAATTGATAAATAAGGTATCCTCCATATTCCTTTGCCACCCCCACCTGTTTAGCTTCTCTCTCTCCCAGCAGGGGAGAATAACAGTAGATACATGCAAAAAGCACTTAGCCCATAGTTTCTGTTTAAAGCACTTGACAAAGGACAGGAGAAAGTGAAGGGCTTGAGGGAAATCACTCAACTAATGGGAAATAGGCCCTGCTTTTCCCAGGCTCAAGAAATAAAAAAGATTAAAAGCAGACTCTAATTGCCCTTGCTTCAAAGCCTCCTTCTGCACTGACAATGTGGCTTTGAAATGGTAACTTACTCGCTTTGGAGTTACACGTCTATAAAAGAACTCAACATTGAGAATTCCACGCTCGAGACATTGTGGAATAAAGGGACTTGCAGTGCTTAGTTAAGTCAATTAAATGTATCATAATGAAGTATGCATTTGATTATTGAAAAACAGTACCAACCAAGTAAGATGCACGTATGTGCTAGCATTTTATATAAATTGTCATTTAAGCCTCAGTTTTAATAAGTAATATTAATAATCATCAATATTGTTATTACTGAATGCATTAATTTAATTGTATATGTTCATTTAAAAGCTGATAAAATGGAGGCTTAGAGAGATTTGATGACAACTAAAGTTCCTCACTTCGTAGGTGATAGAGCTAGAATTTTATTTTTTAGAACTTAACTGGTTCATTGGTGAATTTCTATGAGAAAAATTCAAAACTATATTTATCTTGTTCTTAATTAGCAAGTCAAATATTTTTAAATGGTAGCACATTCTCTTCCTCTTCCTTTTGTCATTTGTTTAAGGCTCATTTCTGGGTAGATAAGCTCTGGTTTATTTATTTTTTTAAAAGGCTTTATTTTTCTTAGGTTTGCAGCAAAATTGAGAAGAAGGTTAAAATCAGAATTTAAAGCAGATACTTTTTATAGCATTGACTGTGTCTCAGGGACTGCTATCTATATTTTACAAATATTATCTTTTTAATCTCCTTAAGAACCTATGAAGTTACTAATCCTATTAATCTCATTTTATAGAAGAGAAAACTAAGGAAGGCACTAAGAGGTTAAATAACTTGCCAAAGATACACAGTGAGTAAGTGGCAGAGCTGGGATTTGAACACCAATCATCTGAATCCAGAGGCCATGTTTTTTACCACCGCACATGCTGTATCTCAAACCCAAGTCTCTTGAATGCTAAAGTCCTTGTTTTAACCACTACACCAAGCTAAAAATATAAGCAATGATAATTGAGGGACAAGATTCATAATATAATGTAATTATTGAGAAAAATACCCGTGCTTCTAAAATTCTTGATTATATTTAAAAACAGAAGATAACATTTCCCCATGATATATAGTAGAAAATTCTAAAACTAGATAGATCTGTGATTATTTAAGAATGAAACATTTTAAAAATAGTGATAATGCTATTTGAAAAAAATACTTTAGCAGAAAGAGAACATTGCTTCAAAGCATCATATCACTAAATATTGAATTATTCATATTACTGAATATTTCTTTCTAGAAAAAGTACAGTAAATATTTGCGCAGATTCTCAAGAAGATGCAAGACAACATGGTCTCCATTAAACATAAGTGAGCAGCTACAGGAGACGATTATTAATCAAGATGAACACACAGACGGAAAAGAAACTACAAATTATAGCAGCAAAATTAAAATTGTTATTGGAGGCAGTAAAAAGAAGCCATAAAATTCCACAACGACAGAACTGAGTAGACCTAGGAGAAGTAATAGTTGTGATATTAATGCAAGAATATATTCCTTACTTGAAGCTTTAGAGCAAAAATACTCATCAAGTTCCAGGCAAAATTAATTAGTGATTCACACCCAGGATAAAGGAAATGTATTACAACCATCCAGGAAAGAAAAACAAGATACTTACAAGTAGGCAAATCAAACTGATATATCATTTCTCTTGTGCAAAAACAAATGCCAGGAAAGGAATAAGATATACAGTAATGTAGAAAAAATATTATGCACCCCAAATTCCACATCTGAGCAAACTATTGGTAAATATGAGGGAAGAGGAAAGCATTTGAGGATGTGCACGACTTCTGGAAATAAAGATGTATTTCACTGATTGAAAAGAAATCAAAATAAAGAACTCGGATATGGGGAAAAATGGCACTCAGCAAATTGCTTGTGATTAAGAAACTAGGGAACATATAGTCTATTGGTAAATATTTTACTAAAATAACTATAAAACTGAAAATGAATATGAAATAAACCCCCTTGTTCTTAAGAAAGACATATGATCTCAGGAAGAAAATAAAAATCTTTGTATCATATAAAGCAGAAAGGTTTAAAATATGAGAGAAACTGGGAGATGAGTGGGAAGATGAAGGAGGTGACGTTCTCATTTCTTTTCATGTACATCAATATGATAAAACTGAGAGAAAAACATAGCTTCAAATTTGCACATAAAAATACACATAACTATGAACACAAAAAGAATGCATAACCTCCAAGTCAGTAAAGGTGGGGTGGGGGGTGGGGGCGGGAGCAAAGAACAAAGGTAGAAAAACATAGGAAAAGAAAAGAACTAGCAGAACAATTAAAAGCAAAGCAGCATAAACTAAGGTGATGGAAGTATCAAACTTATCAGCCATCAGTAAAAATACAAAGAAAGTCTTCATTCTCTCTATCTTACCCACTAAATATCAATTCCTTAGATGACTATTACGGTTAATATTAACGATAGCATACAATAACCTTCTGTGCTCCTGGAGTACATGATCCTCACCCCTGCTCTGGCACACTGTATGTAACATGTGCGCCTCTTTCTCTCAGTGGGCAACGGTTGTTCTTATAAGTTCCGAGAGCTTTCCGATGATCTGACCCAGCCACGGCCCATCCCATTGCTTGAGCCAGCAGTCACTCAGTCAAAGGAGGGCAAAGGAAAACAAGCTCTGCTGGAAGGTGGAGGGTGTGGAGGGAAGACCAAAGGCAGAGAGACTACCAAAAGGGTGAAGTGAAAGGACATCAGACTTGGGAGTCAAGACAACTGAGTGGCAAGCTTGGCTCTTCCAACCACCCAGCTATGGGTCACTGGCAAGCGACTTTATTTTCTTCTCCTACAGTATACAGAAGTTACAGTTAGGGCTGTCTATGACATTTGCCAGTGGTAATGTTATGTGATGAATCTATAAATAGAATAATACTAAAAAGTTAAAGAAACCTTCCATATGAGCAATCAGGTTCTGTCTACAGATTTTATCATTTATTTAAAAAGTAATATTACGTAAAAAAGAACTGATCTTACATACACTCTTACTATCCAAATCCTTTTGGGTAATCAAGAGTTCACAATACTAGAGAACAGTGTTTTGGAGATAAAAATATCCGAAAGTACATTTGGAAATATATTGTGAAATTCATAACGATAATGGAAAACAGACTTTAGGAGAACTACTTAAAGGCATTGCACAATTCTAGTGGGAGGGTGTAATCAACCTCTTTGATTCCCAAGGGGGAAAATTCCTCATCTAAAACCAGGCAAAAGTTGAAAAGACGAAATAAACTGTGGTTTGAACAAGTTTCACAAGTGATGGAAAACGGCAAGGGTATGTTTTTTTCTTTTTAATATGAAATGTGTTTCCTTCCTGGAAAGGTACCAAATATTATTTCTTAATTGCTGTTTTTGTTGTTGTTAAAATAAGCACTTTCTCTTTTCAGAAACATCTTGGCGGTTTTCAGCTACTATTACTGGAAGTGTGACTCTTGAAGTTATCATGTTGTGCTAACATTAGATTTTCCTTCAGCTGACAACACAATTTTGACTGAAGTAAATTAAAACATCAACCAGTTTGGAATTTGTAAAACACAAAGATGTCTTCATTCTCTCTAATCTATTTAGATTGCCCACTAAATATCAATTCCTTAGATGACTATTACAGTTAATAGTAATTATATTATATGATAATTTACATTTTATGAAATTCCTTCTTATACATAATCTAAGATTAGTTTTTAAAAAAATTCTATAAATAAGAAGAGCCTTTGTTCTTTACACAATTCATCTTTAAAGCATATAGTTTTAGGGCAGTTCCATCAGCAGCATTCAGGCTGTACCCTACACAACTCCAAAGGTGCTCATTCATGTAGATTATAATGGTATCCAGGTGCTGTTCAGTTCAAAAGCCCTCGTTTTGCTATATCTGAGTAGGACACCAAGCAAGTATTGGGCCCCTGGAGAAAGGCTCTTTATTATTACAATACCATGCTTCTGAACTTTATGGATTTGTTCTGAATAAGGAATCTGTTCCTATCAACAGCTATGTGGGGATTTTGAGCACAGGAAACCACTGTTCTAGAAGAGAACCAGTTTTCCCAATGCTGAGCCAATATATTCATAAATATTAAGACAAGCACCTAGGCATGCAAGGGACTTTCTTTTTATTGGACAGTGAAAATCCTGTCTATTTTCATCAATGAATTAGTTGAGGAGACTTTTAAATGCCCTGGATTCTACATATCCAAATCTGTGTGAAATTAGCATCCTGCCAACCTCCCTGCAATTGCTTAGCTCATTTGGCTGGAATACAGGCTATTGGGACAAAATTGTGAATTTGAGCAACTGTGCGGTGCCATAGCAGCAAATGGTACCCTAGCTGCAGGATGCAATGTTGTAAATGTAAACACCTGCTCAGACTAGAAAG